TTTGTAACCCATCATAAAACACCTAAGTCTCAGCTTCTTCATCTATAAAATGGGACTGGTGACCATACCTGGGAAGATTTGAGGAGTTGATGCAGTCCTGGACAAAGTATTTAAATAAGAACGGACACATCTACCACATGGCATGTGCTTCATGGGTAGACAGACACTTACCATCATCCTAACCACCTTGTGAGGAAGGAAACTGAAACACAGAGACACTGAGTGACTCACCCAAGGTCACACAGCCAGGTTACATGCACACAGGTGCACACACACTACACCAGCTGACATGTACCCCAAATCTCCCATTTGGTTCTAACACGCGCAAGCACTCAGGTTCTCCTGCCTGCCATCTAGGTCCTGGTTGACCGAGTGGGGAGCAGAATGTTGAGATCTGAGCAGAACCTTCCGGACCCACTGCTACCTCCATTGTCCTCCACCACTGACTGCCCCAGGGTCCACACGTGCCACCCACCTCCAGACATGCAGCCATACACTGGGCTGAGGAGGCTCCTGCGTATCCCTTGCCCCAACACTTCTGATACCACCAGCTCCCATGTTTTCCTGGAACTCAGTTAAGCATCTTATATACATTTAAGCCCCTGACAACCTTGCCAGTTTGGATTACCATCTTTATTTTACTGAAAATGAAAATTCAAAGATGTAAGTGACTTGCATGGAGTCAACATGGGCCTGGATCCAGACCCGGAGCTGAACGACTGCCTCTTGAGCCTCTGTTCTTCCAACTGCAAAGCACATACACACACGTACACCACTCACTACTCAAGTGGAACTCATATACTTCTCCACCCACAACATAGACCAGACACACAAGTCATGGTGCACACGCCCTCATACACACACACACACACACACACACACACATTTGTTGAGCCACATCACTGTCATGCCTCCTTCCCACTGCCGGCTGGCTCCCTGAGCTGGAACAAAGCACCTGGGCTCAGCCAGCCACGCTGACCCTCAGCCCCCAGTCTTTAGCTGGTTAATGGTGGGTCCCCTCGCCCCCACCCCATGGCCTTGAGAACAGCTGCCTCTGCATAGATTCCACCCCCTTCCCTTCCAGAAGGGAACAAAAGAGAAAAACTGGGAGGAGGAGAGGGAGTAAGGTCTGACTGGAGAAGGGAGGAGAAGCAGGGAGAAGGAGGTTGGTCCACATCCTCCCACAAAACAGGCTGGGGAGCCGGGGCTGAGTCATGCCCCTGGCCCTCTCCTAGACTCTCTCCTCCCATCTCAAATCAGGAGGAGGTCTTTGGTGTTCATTCCAGCAGAGCTGACACTCAGCACCTAGTCATTGGAACCCAAACATCCTGATAGCATCAGACTGGGGCAAAGGGAACTAAGGTTCCATGCATTCAGCTTTAGAAGGTTCAACAAGCTGGAGAGAACCAAATTTGGTTTTGTTGCTGTTATTGTTGTAAAGTGCCGTCGAGTCGGTTCCGACCCATAGTGACCCTATATAGGATTTCCTAGAAGTGGCTGGTGAGCTTGAACTGCTGACCTTGAGGTTCAAACTGACTTCACAGTCCAGCTCGTTAACCCACAGCGCCGCACCAGGACTCCGGCTACGCATCTTAATTCTATCACCAAGTCTCTGCAACCTCCGGCAGGGTCATGTTAGTCCCTATGGCGCCTTTGTGCAAATAGCTCCCCTTTTGGGAACCATTCCAACTCATAGGAACCCCATGTAACAGGGTAGAACTCCCCTATAGATAATAATAGTGTGGTTTGGATGCACGTTTACAGAGCAAATTGGTTTTCCCTTCAACAATTCATACTGTGGCTTGGCAAGCAGAACACTGGCTGGACTTAACCCTCACTCCTTCCCTCAGCCTGGTACCTTGTGCAAGAGACAACCTACACAACTGTACTCAGCAACCCTCCCTGGACTTCAGTTCTTCATGTACAAAATGGGGTGATCTGTCTCCTTTGCCACTGTGTCCTCAGGGCCTAGCTCAGAGCAGCACAAAGTGACATTCCAGTCATGTTGAGGATGTAAAGGAGGGCTAGGGGAAAGCAGTCTACAAACTGTTAAGTGCTGGGGGAGGGGAGGGATTCTCATCCTGGGTCTGGACTGCCCCTCACCCATGTCAGTAGGACCCACACTGGTCATGGGTAAGATGGGCCTAGCAGTTGAGGGACAGGAAGGAGCATTAAACTGGGGACTCCAGCCTGGCTTATACTACCTACTACACGTGTACTCAGAGTGTTCTACAGTTTGCCAGATGCTTACATCTTCCCTACAGCAGTAAATATGGAGAGAGTAAGAGCTGTCGTCTATACCCAGTATCAGGAACTGGTGTCTCAGTGGTTAAAGGGCTTGGTGACTAACTAAAAGGCTGGTGGTTTGAAACCACTCAGTAGTCCAGCAGGAGAAATGGCCTGGCAGCCTGCTCCTGTGAAGATTTTGTTGTTGTTATGTGCCGTGGAGTTGGTTCCAACTCATAGCGATCCTGTACAGGGTTTCTGAGGCTGTAAATCTTTATGGGAGCAGAAAGCCTCATCTTTCTTCCGTGGAACAGCTGGTAGTTTCGAACTGCTGACCTTGCGGCTCGCAGCCCGATTCGTAACCACTATGCTACCAGAGCTCAGCCTATGAGATCTTCCCGAGCAGTTCTATCCTGTAGGGCCACCAGGCATCAGAATCGACTCAACAGCTCACAACAGCCACCCACCTACTTGTTGTTGTTAGGTGCCATCGAGTTGGTACCGACTCATAGCGACCCTATGTATAACAGAACAAAACACTGCCCGGTCCTGGACCAACCTCCCAATTGTTGTCATGCTTGAGCCCATTGATGCTGCCACTTTGCCAGTCCATCACCCTGCAGTGTGAGATAAATATGAATCACCTTTTCCAGATGAGCTAATGAAGGCCAAAGAGGTCAAGGTCATGCATAAGGGCAGAACCAGAATTCAAACCCAGCTCTGCTCTGTGATCTGTACAATCCCATCAGAAATCATTACTCTCATTCAACAGAAAAGGCAACTGAGGCCAAAAGAGTTTTGGCAATGCAGCTAAGGCCCTAATGAAGGGACATCTCAGGGCTTTGGGCCCCAGCTGGCAAGGTTTCTGGGGTCCTCGCTTCCCTGAGCCTCAGTTTCCCACTCCAGGAGATGGGGGAAGGGTCCCTGGGGTCCAGTCTGTGGCTCTGGCTCAGCCTCGCCCCATCAGGTTGCTTTGTCCTCCTGGCACAATGAGCCCTTGCTTGGCATTAGAAATTTTTGTCCAGTGTGCTGCCTGGCCTCACCCCCGCCTGCATTATCAGAGCCGGGAAGCAGCAGCCGGTGCTGGCGGGGCCTCTCTGGGCCGCCGCCGCCTGAGACATGTGTTGGACACGGGCCTTTCATGCCTGGAGCTGCCACACAAAGGCCCAGGAAGAAGGCGGAACAAAGAGCTTTTTCACGCGGCAACTGAAAAGCCACAGATTAGCTTGTGCGTGCTGCGCAGGCCGGGTGGGGCCAGCGGCCAACCTTCATGCCCCTCACCACTGGAACTCGCTTGTCTGTGGCCCTGCTCTGAAACAGCCGCAGGATGCCTTCTACCCCAGAATCAACGGCCTCTCCCCTGCTCAGAATCCCTCCTTGGCTCCCTAGTACACCTCAAACACCTAAATTCTGAGCATGTTCTGATTTCTAACCTCTCACCTCCCAGTACAAGTAATCCTGCACTCTTAGCCATTGCCTGAGTTCTGTTGTTATTAGATGCCATGAAGTCAATTCCAACTCATAGCAACCCTGTGTAACAGGGGAGAACTGCCCTATAGGGTTTTCTTGGTTATAATATTGTGATTTGGGTGAAAGTTTACAGAGGAAATTGGTTTTTCCATTCAACGATTCATAGACATTTTATTTACTGACATTGATTGCAATCCTTGCAATGTAACAGCGGTCTTCCCACTTCTCCCTGTGCTACAACTTCCATTTGTCCTTCTTTCCTCTCCTCACTTGCCTTTGAAGCTTTATCCCTATGAGACAGTGTTACCCTTTTGATCTCATCCGGCTGATTGTTCTAAAGGAGTCCGTACCTCCCTGGTGTGACTGTTCAATTTATAGGCCTGTCCTGTGGCTGGAAGTCAAGCCGTAGGGGTTCTTGGCTGAATCTTTATGGAAGCAAATTGCCAGGTCTTTCCCCTTGCAAAGTTCATTTGAACTGCCAACTTCTTGGTTAGCAGCGATATGCTTAACTGGTTGTGCCACCAGGACTCCTTTCTGTACAATTCTCACGCACCCAGCCTTTGCACCCTATGTTCCCCCTGCCTGAATCCCATTCCCAGCCTCCTCCTCTGGTTTCAAGGAGCCCTGGTGACTCAGGGGCTGGAGCACTTGGCTGCTCACCAAAAGATCAGTGATTCTAAGCTACCAGCTGCCCCACTGGAGAAAGATGTGGTCGTCTGCGCAGCTGCCCCACTGGAGAAAGATGTGGTCGTCTGCTTCCGTAAAGATTTGTTGCCTTGGAAACCTGATAAGGCAGTTCTACTTGGCCCTATGGAGTTGCTATGAGTTGGAATTGACTCAACAGCAGTGGTTTGTCATGGTTGGATCTGTGCCTTCAAGGAGACTGGTAGTACAGTGGTTAAAGTGCTTGACTGACAGTTCCAACCCATCAGCCACTCCCAGGGAAAAAGATGTTGCAGTCTGCTTCAAGCCCACTTCCGGAAAGATATGAATGAAATATTCAGTGAAGCTAGCTTTGTCCCAGTCACTTTGCCTGTCTTCAACCCTCACAACTGTGGGGTGCAAATTATGAGCCCATTTCCCAGCTCAGAAAGACTGAGGAGTACCCATGTCCCACAGAAGGAGCCCAGTCAGCTGAAATGCAAACCCGAATCCCTTCCCATTCCTCCTTTGCTGGGAAGTTTCTCCGCTCCTTGTTTCTCCGGGGCAGGTGGTCCCTTTCTTGGGGATGGGGTTCAGGATGTGGGCACCAGCTCCAGCTGGCACTGAGGTACCTTCAGTCAACTTCTTCCTCCCCACCTCAGGTATGCCATTGACCGCAATTCAGACTTGGACCAGATCTTCGATATTGACGCGGACACTGGCGCCATCGTAACAGGCAAGGGACTGGACCGAGAGACGGCAGGCTGGCACAACATCACAGTGCTGGCCATGGAGGCTGGTGAGCTAGCACTTGGGGGGGCAACTATGTGGGGAGAGAAGGTGCAAAGGCTGAGGGGCGGAGCCTAGGATTGGGGCGGGGTCAATATCTAAACACTTAGGAGCTCCTGGTGACGGAGGGTTAAAAACTGATGCTTGGGAACAAAGACCCAGGAGGGCCCCTGAGCCATGGGGACAGTGTTTTCCTCATCATTTATTGAGGTGTGGAGCTATAGGATCAGCACTGGACTACAAATCATCAGGTCAACAGTTCAAACCCATCAGCTACTCCTTGGAAACCCTAGACAGGGTCGCTATGAGTTGGAACCGACTCAGTGTCACTTAACAACATCAATACTACATGCTAAGCCCTGTTGTAGGGGCTAAGGATACAGTCATGAACCCAATGGGGAAAGCTCTTGTCCTTGTGGGTATGAGATAGACTATCAACAAATTAACCAGAGGAAGGCGTTCCATAGTATGAGGCGGCTTTGAAGCGTTGGTGGGGAAATGGAATGAAAAGATGGTAGAATTTTTTATCAACTTTGCGAAGCCCTGTTGTATGTAAGGTGCAGCTGAGTGCTACAAAGAAGCAGGGGGAGGTGATTGGGAGGGAGAGAGGCATTGTTTCACTTAGAAGAGGGCTGCTCTCAAAAAAACAGAGACTGAAATAACTGAGGGAACTGGAAAAGCCAAGGGAGCAGCCAGTGCAAAGGCCCTGAGGTACTAGTTTCCCTCACGTATTGGAAGAACAGCAAGGAGGCCAATGTGGCTGGCAAGCGGCACTTTCCTCCCAGCAAAGTGGGAATCGTGGTGCAGTAGAGAGGAACCGACTCCACGGCACATAACTACCACAGAGAGGTTTAAGCAGAGAAGGGTCATGTCTGACAGTGGAGGCCTCTGGCTTCTGTATTAAGAATAGATTGATACTAAGGGTGGAAGAAGGAGACCTGGTGGTGCAATGATTAAGCACTAAGCTGCTAACCAAGGGTTGGCAATTTGAACCCACCAGCTGCTTCACCAGAAGCTGGGTAGGGAACACCTGAAAATTCACAGCATAGAAACCCTATGGACGAGTTCTACTGTTTCTACAGGGACACTGATCGGACATCGGCACACAACAACAACGGGGGAAGCTGGGGCTCAGCTAGATGTTGGATGCAGCAGGCTGAGGAGATGGAGATGGCAGGGAGCAGGCTGACCCCAAAGATAGAGCCAACAGGACTTGCCGTTGGGCTGATGTGGGTAGGGTGAGAGTCATCCACAGGACCTGCAACGTGCTTGGGCCTCCATTTCTGGAATGGTGTGTATGAGGGTCACAGGCACTTGGGTGAACTGAAGGGAGAGAAAGAAGGAGGCCCTGAGACGTGGGAGGCCACATCAGTAAGGCTGGTTATGAGTTACTGAGAGCACAGTGAGTCCTGGAACCCCAAAGAGGAGAGGGGGCTATGCCAGCCCCACCTCCACCTGCCAGGCTTCTGTCACAGGGTCTCTGTCAGCTCTTGAGGTCTCAGGAGTCAGGAGAGCTACAATAAACCATCATGACAACAGAAATTCTCAGAGCCGCAGCAGGCCAAGTTCAAATTTGTCTCTGCACACCTTGGCCCCAGGCCTCTCCTGCCTGCCTGCCTCCTCCTTGCCCCCCCCCCCCCCCCCCCCCCCCCCCCCCCCCCCCCCCCCCCCCCCCCCCCGCAGGCGTCCTCCTACAGTCTCAGGCCCCACTGGTCCATTCTGGGCCAAGGAAGTCCCTGGGCTGAAGTTCCCATCATCTCTTTCAACTTCAGTTTAAAAGAAAATACAAAGCTGGCTCAAACCTCAGTGCCTGCTGCTCTGCAGCCTTTGAATCCACTCCTCCTCCGCATGAAAGGCAGATAACAAAGGTGGCTGGAGAGGAAGTGGCGGCTGGACTAGGGTGGGGAAGACCCCCCCCCCAACCCCTTTGCCTCCCTGAACTTGTTCCCTTGGCTGCAGACAGAGCCAGGGAGGACTGACCTGGCTGCTGGGCAGAGACAACGCTCCCAACACAGGAATTTATCTCTCCCCACAGCCTGTCACACTGCTTGACGTTAGCCAGTCCCCTCTTGGGTTCAGCATTGTGTTTCTGTCCAAAGGGTAGCTTTCAAAATGCAGCAAGAGTAGTATATGAAGCCTGCCACAATGACGGGGAGGAAGAACAAGGGGGACTCTCCCCCACAAACAATTTGCAATTGTTAACTTAATACGTGTCCTGCCTTGAATGTTTTATAACATACACTTTTACTACATCCTCACAGCTACCTTGTAAGGTAACGTGATCAGCACCTATTTTACTGATGGAAAAATTGAGGCTCAGGGCTGTGGCAGAGCTGGGATTTGGAGTTCTCCCCACTGATGTATTTGTTTCCTAGGGCTGCTATAGTAAGGTACTACAAATTGGGGGGCTTGGAGCAACAGGAATGTATTGTCTCAGCTCTGGAGGCTAGAAGTCTGAAATCAAGGTGTCAGCAGCGGGGCCAGCTTCTCTCTGAAAGTTCCAGATGAAGAGCCTTCTTCCTTGCCCCCTTTCCAGCTTCCTGGTGCTCTTTGGCGCTCCTTGGCTTGTACATGCATCACTCTAGTCTCTGCTTCTATCTTCACATCCGTCTTCCCTCTGGATCTCTGTCTAGCTGTCTCTCCTCCTTCTTTATGAGGAAATCAGTTATGTTAGATTAGACCCACCCTACTTCAGCACAGCTTCAGGCTAACAAATGACATAGTCCAAGGCCCTATTTCTAAACAAGGTCATGTTCGTAGGCATAAGGGTGCTGGAGGGAGGTTAGGAATTCAACGTATACTTTTGGAGGTCTGGTTTCAACCCACAACAATGATGCTGCTACATGGCCTCCGTTTTCCTCTGTTCTTCTAGTGCCTTGCCGACTCCTAGCAAGTGACCTTGGGGATGATGAGGAGGCTTTGAAAGGAAGGAGGAGCCTGAGCTAGAGACTCAGGATCTCTCTCCAACCAACCTCCACCTGGGGTATCGGTGAAAGAGGAAATGAATGGGTCCCACTTTGCTTTGCAGGTGGGAGGATTGAATGGAATAATACGCAGAAAGCCCTTAGCTTGATACTTTGTAGGTAGTCAATCAATGAAACCTATTGCTCTTGACATATATTAAGCACCGACTGTGTACCAGATACTTTACAATGATGAATTCACTGAATCTTCACACCAACCCTGGGAAGTTATCAATGGCACCATTATTCCCAATGTGCAGATGAGGACCCAGAGACTCAGAAAGGTGAGGTTGTTTGTCCAGATTCCCAGGGATTCTAGCCCAGCCTCTCTGCCCCAGAGCCCAGCTCTTACCTACATACCCCTCCAGACATAATTCCTTGGTTCCTGCCCAAAGCCAGGAGTGATATACGCCCACTTCACCTTCTCACTAGGCAAGGACAAAATTATTGTTCCCATTTTACTGATGAAGAATTGGAACATCCGGCTGGAACAGTGGTATCTACAGGATCATAGATGCAGGATCTGTGCTTGACCCCAGACTCCTGTCTCCAAGCTGGAGCCCAAGCCTGAGGTTCATGGCCAATCGAAACATCCACTTGGTAGCCTCTGAAACGGATGTTTGTGGGGGTCATGGCAGCCCCGCCTGCTCCCAAGCTTTAACAAACATGAGGTGACAAGAATCAGAGGGGAAATATTTATACACAGCGGCGGAGCTCTTTGAGCCCCCTCGGAGAATGTTGCGCTCAGCCGGGAGCCGGCCGCCTGTCATACTGGATTACCTCAAAGACTCCCAGAGCCACTTAGTATGCCGACTTCCCTCTACCCTAACTTCTGAGTCATCCATTCTGCCCATGCAGACGCTCCTTCTACTGACATTATCTTTAACGTTTTGTAATCATGAAATATTAATGACCGATATTGAATTTAAAGTACAATTTGTGTCTGGATCCTTCGGTGGAAAGGGCAGTTGTAAAGGGACAGTCTTCAAAGAGACAAGGGGACTTGGAAAGCCAACGCTGGGGGAGGGGTGGAGGGGGCTACGTCCTGTCCAGTTACATCCTTCAGTGTCTTCAGGCTTCACGCTGGTCTGGAAGGGGAGTACCACATTTTTTATTTTTACGCAAATAACACGAGCTGGCCTTTCTATGTTTGTTTGCCAACTGCGCCCTCCCCCTGCGAGGTATTATCTTAAGCTAAGCACTATGCTATTTTTTTTTTTCTTATGGTTTTTTACATGTTGCTGTAAAAAAAAAAAAAAAATTAGCATAGTGCGCTTACAAAAATACTTGGAGTGAAGGGACAGAACAGTTGGCAAATAAACTTAGAAAGCTTAAGCTCTTTATGTAAAAATACAGTCTGAGACAGCAAGGGGTTAACCAGATTAGCTGGAAGTTTCTAACGTGTGTCACCCCAGGCCAAGTCCTATCTCCCAGTACCCTGCATTTTGCCTTCAGCATGCTTCCTCATTTAGATATTCATCAGTGTGAGTGCTGTGTTAATATCTCCCTCCTCCAGGAAACCAAGTTCCCTGAGGACAGATCTAGTCTGTATCCACAGTATCCACACCAGACACCAGGACTGGCCCATGGTAGACCTGTGATAAATATTTGCTGGAAGCATGAACAAAGCGTAGTGGTTACAAGCCCGGCTGCTTACCTCAAAGTTAGCAGTTCGAAACTATCAGCCGTTCCATGGGAGAAAAATGAGGCTTTCTGCTTCCATAAAGATTTACAGCATCAGAAACCCTATGCAGGGTTGCTGTGAGTCAGAACCGACCCCACAGCACACCACCACCACCACCACCCAGCTAGGACAGCAGCTGGGAACAGAACTGGCTCTAGTTGTACAGCTCCCGCCGTGTCATCTTAAACAAGTCACTCCCCTCTAGCTGCCTTCGTTTTCTCATCTATAAAATGTGGCAGTAACACCTATTTTATCACTGACTGTCAGATAATCACTTATCAGCTGCCATCGAGTCAGCCCCCAATTCATGGTGACCACATTTACAAGGGAACTAAACACTGTCAGTCTGTCCATCCCCATGGT